ATTCACTGTATATATATATATATATATATATGAATGAGTGATTTTTTTAAAAATAAGGATTTATTCATTCAGAATGTATAGCATAAGAAGTCTGATGACTTCGTTTTTATTTCCCCTCCGTTGGAAACACTGGGATATTTTAAACACCCCAAAAAAACCCTATGAAAAATTTAAATACACACACACACACACACAAATGCAGTTTGTAGCTATTGCTTACTTTAGTATTGGATATATTTGCAATTTTGCTTGTAGAAAACGAAGGGCTTTTTAAATTCCACACATGTATGTCAGTTAACACAATTTATATGTGTTAACTAAATTATATATGATGTGTTTCATGTTAAATCAAGACATTGGGTTTAGGTTTGATAGGAAAGTAAGTATTGCATATATTTAAGTTGTCTCCTAAAAACAAGTTTTCCCCCATGGTTTCAAAATGTTCTGGTTCATGCCTAAAGATGTAAAATTTCTAGAAAATAAGTGTTGGGCCATTCTGTGGAATTTTTTAAAGTGTAAAAAATGGATGTGCATATTAAGGTCAATTCATATGATGTTAAAGATGTTCATAAATTCATATATTTGTGCATATGCATATTAGTTGCTAAAAATTAAGCATTGTAAGCATTCCATAAGATGCAGCTCTAGACAGGAGTGTTCATGGATGCCACCTCGTGGTGAGATTGTGGGAAACAATTTGCAAGGTACTCAGTTCAGAGGAAGTAAAGAGCATGTTCAAAAGTTAAAGGAATGCCATGATATATAATGAGTGAGGGATCACCACAGTGGACATCTACAGCAGAGGCATGTCAGGGCAGAGATCTGAGATGATGAGGAGAATCACAAATGCGATTAAGAATTCACACATCTTACATGTACAAATGAATACAAATTGTATGAGACAAAAGAACAAAATTTTGAATCCAGTGGCACCTTTAACACCAACAATGTTTAAATTCTGGTAACTACAATAATTTATTTCTGTTCATATGACCCAAAGGCTCAAGTGTACTTAAGCAGATTAGAAGTGCACATCAATCAATTAGTTATACATAAAATTTCCAAATTATACAAACTGTAATAAAAAATAAAGTTTAGAACTGTAAAACATTTCAATTGGTTCCAACATGGAATTTAAAAGGAATTTGGATCTAAATTTAACAGTTGTCAATCCAGGAGACTAAATAAAACTTCTCATTTATAACTATTATTTACATTTCAATACTATTATAATTGCCAAGTATTTTGCTACTGGGACAGTAATTTTAGAGTTGATATCATGATGCATGCATGGATACAAAAGCTTATGTTGTTGTTCAGTTGCAGAGTTGAGTCCAACTCTTCCCGACCCCATGGACCACATCACGCCAGGCCCTCCTGTCTTCCACCATCCTCCGGAGTTTGCTCAATTTCATGTTCCTTGCATCGATAACACTGTCTAACCATCTCATCCTTTGCTGTCCCCTTCTTCTTTTACCTTCTTTTACAAAAGCTTATACACAGACAAACTTTGTTGGTCTTAAAGATGCAACTGGACTCAAACTTTGTTCTATTGCTTCACACCAACATGGTTACCCACCTGAATCTGTATGAGACAATGTAGAGGAATGTTTTTACAGACAATTAGTAATAAACATGATAAATAACCTAATCTAGAAAATATCTTGAGTTAAGATTATACGCATTTCTTCATGTCGCCAACACTGCTTTGTATTCAGTATGTTCCTTTGCTTCCAAAGCAAACTGTAGGAATCAGGAAGTGAAAACTCCTGACTTCCCAGAGGGAGAATCAAGAAGAACACATTTTTCACCATCATGGGAACAAGAAGATGTATTTACAGAGCTCAGCATCCCACTAGGTATGTATGCTTACAAGGGATCCAACCTTTTTGTAATAACTTGTCTAGCAGTACAGTGTCTCTTTCAGAATACTTAGAGGACTTACCAGTTCCTCAGAACTATATTGACTACATCAAAACTAAGGACCCCTCAGGACTGGAAAATCACAGGTGTCTGGTTACAGGCATGCCAAAAAGTTGATGTGCTCCAATTAAAAGACAGACAGAGAGAGCAGTGTAACTGGGATAAGGTGTAACTTTTTGAGGAAGACTTGGCTGTGCTGTGGAATGGGAATTGGATAGTGACCGTACAACTGAGGGAGGGAAGGCAGCATGGCATAGCCAAATCTCATCATACTGCAGAAGCTAAGTAGGGTTGTTTCTTGGAAGGGAGACCACCAAGGAAGACTCTGCAGAGGAAGGCAATGGCAAACCACTGCTGCTTCTCATTTGCCTCGAAATCCCCTTGCTGGGGTTACCATAAGTTGACTGTGATTTATTGGCACTTTATATACACACAACGCAACTAATGAGAGTTAGGATTTTGCTTTGTGGACAGTCTGAGGTCAGTTTATGAAGATTTTGAAGATTTGTAGGATGATATTTTTCTTACCATTGCCACTGATGAGAGCTATGTTGGTTAATGGAATTTTCTCTTATATTTTCATCACGCCTTCAGGATGATAAGCCTTTGGTGGTAAGTAAGCCTCAAGGGGTTAGGGAATGGGCCTGGTTGTTCTGGGATGTTGTAGTCATAAGGGGTAGCAAGAGAGAATAGGCAGATTTGTTTAGGAGAACAGGAGACGTTAAGGCAATTCAAAGTGTAGAGCCAGAGGTCATAGATCACTCTATGAAGAAACTGAAGCGAAAGAGAGCTTGGAGGCTATGGCAAGTTTAAAGATGCAAAGAGTTTGTGTTGGATGTGGAAGCAAGCAAGCATAGGGAATGAACATCGCATGGAAGAACTAAATTATTGGGCAGCTGTTCAAGATAAGGCGATTGAGAAGTGACATGGAAGCCAGTAATCATGGACCAGATGGCAAGTCATGGACCAGAATTCCAGATGAAGGGGTAGATTGTTGCTGTGTCGTATGACTGGGAAAGCATAACTTGGCAACAGTGTGACTATATAGAAAATTGACAGGAAAGAATCAGAAACAACACTAAGTATTTGTGCTTAGCTGACAGGAAAATGGTGATATTGTCAATAGCCTCAGCTTGCAAAAAATAGCTCTGGAGGAAATATGAGAAGTCCATCTTGATATATTGAATGTAAGACATCCTAAAGGCAAATGTATAGGCAAGCCTTGATAGAAAGGACAGATTTAGAATAAAGAGATATAGAGCCTTGCCTCTCTCCCACACAGCCTCCCTTTCTGTTGTGACTATAAAAATACCAGCTTAATAGATAATAGGCTCCAATGCATCAAATGAAGTGAGCTTTGACTCACAAGGTGAGAGTCGTATTAGCTACTTTTCATTTGTATCTCTACCACACTACAGCAGCTTTGGTGAAGGCATCATAATATAAGAGAAAGCAATAAAGTGTAGGCATTAGAAGCATTCTTCAGATAAATTCTTTTTCTCTCTCTCTTCAAAGGAAAATTATGCTAAAGCTATCCCTGATGGTGTTGTAATCGTAATCATTGCAATTCAAAATCTTTTTATAGGAGTAGAATTTGTTGTGCCCAGAACAGGCTTTTACTGCAAACTTTGTGGACTTTTCTACACAAATGAGGAGACAGCAAAGACTCGTCATTGCAGAAGTACTGTTCACTACAAAAATCTTCAGGTAATGAATTACGAATTCATATAAATTAGAAGCTTTGGACCAGTCCACACTACATGTAGGCAATGTTCCCTCTAAGCTGTGGAATCTTGTGAGCAAAAATTCTACTCCGTGAGCTACTGGCATGAAATTTGTGAGTGAGCGATTTGGCTACTGCATAAATTAGTTGGCTCTAGAGTCATCCTTCCTGAGCGAAGACAAAAATCTGTGAGCTGGAGGCTGAAAAACTGTGAGCTAGCTCACACTAACTCAGCTTAGAGAGAACACTGCATGTAGGAAAATTATACAGTGGTATGCAGGATCAAGCTTTGGGCTATAGACCCTCTCCCCATTGCATGTATGGTGCCCCCAAGGCACTCACCTCATGAGTTAGCTGCTTCATTTTTTGTGGCAGATACACTGACAATTTCCTAAGCAGTCAATGGGATTAGAAGGGTGTAACTCCGTTTAGGATGGAACTGCATGAACCCAGTGTCAACAAACTGAAATTAAAGCTCTGACAGGTGTAAACACAGCTGGTTGACACACTTATGCACACCCCTGGCTCCGCTTCACGTCCCAGTGAACATAGACCTTGATGCAAAACGTCCTGTCTTGATCAAGCTCCACTTTACTGCAGTATCCAAACAGGCATCTTCAGGAACTGGAATTTTACACCTCATAAACTGGGATTAAATTGAAGTTGTGTTTAACTCCATTTCACTGAGGCATCTGCATTCACAGCACACTGCAGTTTGATCAAAGTTTTCATCAAGCTCTGCGTGCATAAACGGGGCCCATGTGATCACAGCGATGTTTGTGCCAGACTGAAGTTGTAGCTTGTTGTGCCATCTGAATGCGCAACCTATGTGAAGGACTTTTATACAGTGGCATAGAGGAATGAGCCATGGGCTGTACGCCTCTGTCCACATCGTATCTGACTCAAGGCACTCTCCTTACGGTCCATCCACCTTGTTTTTGTGAAAGATGGTGCCCTAGGTCATATAAAACTATAAGGGATAGAGGTGAGAGCTCAGGACACATCATTCCTGTGCCCTAGCTGCATTGTGTGTGAGACTACCTGTTGAAATGTCCTATGAACATATAAAGCTTCCGAAGGTGCTGTTTTGTTCTATTTCGAACAGCTAGTCATGTGCAGTAATTGGCTTGCCAAATAGTTATGAGATTGTTGTCCATTTTATGCCTCTATATCTTGTGCTATTACAAATCAAGTCCTCCATTAAATCTTAGAAATAGTCAAAGGCATCTGGAATCAAATGAGATTTGCTCTAATTCCCTAGTTGTCCGTACAAAACATCAAGCAGAGATTAACTATCATTCAGGCTTGGTATTCCTCTAGAAGATGAAATTCACGCTGCAAATTAATACAGAGTGCTGCACACAGCACAGAAGCAAGTCACGCACAAGCCTAAGTGAAAGCGGAGATGGTAACAGGTGAAAGGCTTGCCTTCAGGATTCTTTTTCTCCCTCTAGGGCAGCGTTCTAAAGCACTAATCCAAGACCATAGCAGTTTTATATAGCTGGAAAAATATGCATTTGCTCACTAAAGGTCTACATGTGTTAATGGTTTTAGTGAAGCCAAGCAACAGATGAGTCTCTTTTAAGAGTGTGAAGTTATTGGCATTTCTTTGGCAGGGATTCACTGGGAGAAGCATATACAGTTGTCAGCTTTTTTCTGTATGGGCGGAATTTTGTGGGGGTATGCGTGTGTCCACGTGCATGCATTCTGAATTTAACTTTTAATTAGGTGCACAGTTGGCTAGACGCTCTAGCATGTGATCCCCGGGCACCATTCCCTTTGTGGCTATGCAGTATGTGCCAAGAACACAGCCCTACTGTGCCCAAAATAACTTCCCCCTCAACACCAATGGCTGCTAGCTCTGAATGGGTTTACCTTCAGTCTGACCACCTCATTCGTACTATAGTGACCAACATGTATACTGCTGTGTGTAGATAAAGTGGTCCTGGCATGTGTGTATGTATTAACACTTGGTGAAAAACATTTGTTGTGTGCACACATTCTATTTGTATATGTCAGTGTAACATTTTGTGCAATGTAGAGTGAGGAAGCCTTTAGTTCAGCAATCTTATCTCTTCTCATGGCAGAATATGAACAATATAATGTTTTCTTTGCACTCATAAGTTTTGCTTACTTTTGTGGTTATGTGACCAAACACATGATTTTCTGTTTGTCGATATGTTTTAGTGTTTCTGTTAAATATTATTCTAACTAAATATTCACATGGAATAGTCTTGCCACTTTTTCATATTGTATTAGATATTTTATTAAAGACTATTTGTAAACTAAACTATATCAGACTGATTGTGCTCCCTTTTTTTTAACTTCCTAGAGGAGGAGAACATAAATGACACATATGCCAAGAGCACTATCATTTAATATTTTCATGAATTATCAGGCTTCCTGAATAGTAACCTCCTTGGTTCCATTACTTCCTCCCAAAATAGCCCTAATGAAGAGGCTAACTGTTTTGATTCTCTAAAGAAAATTTTAAAATAATATTATATCAAAATCATGTCTTTTCTATCTAAGGAACTGTTTTCTTCTGTCCCACTGGAGTGACAAACATTTGCCGCAGAGACTTGAAGGTATAAAGTACTGTATGGCAGGCAATTTGGTTTTCAAAATTGTAAAAAAAATAATTCTTTCATTAACCACAGAAGTACCTATCCCAGCTTGCGGAAGAGAATCTGAAGATGACTGACAAGGAGAGCAATTTGACACAGGATGACACAGGAATTGTGCCTCACTTTGAGAAGAAAAAACTATGACCTTTTGGTTAATTTGAAGTGACTGCTGATAATTTGTTGCTGATCCCCATGATGCTCCTTCCTGCTTGTGCTCTTTTGAAGGAGTAAAAGCACAATGAAGAGCCTGTTCTGTGCATCGATTCTCAGAGTGCCATCCATATACAATGCCTGAAATGAACTGAAACAATAGCAACACATCTGTAACCAGCAGAGCGCAGCTTTCTCATGTTTTGATAGCTCTCACATTAAATCAGAGTTCTCAGGGATTCTCTGTTTTAGTTCTGGTGTGACTTCAGGTGATTGTTCAGGGAAGATTATCTGGAGGGAATGACCTGAATGAAAGTATTGTAAAATTACCTTACAAAGCAGCAAACCATAGTTCTTGTAATCATACCCAAAGTCGTTGCTGTTAATATTGGTACTTTCTGACAGCAGTGATATATGTGCCTTGCATGAAGTAATCATGGTCCTTGCATCCAAAGGGCTTATAGGCTAAATCCACATCAGAGGGCACAAGTAATTGTTCCTCCATCTTCAGGGTCCGGACACATTTCAGAGGACAACATTTTGAAGACTTCTGACACTTATTTTTCCAAGTTCTGTCAACTGGTAGATTATATATCCATTCTCATCCGCTTTTCTGAAGATTCGTCCTTCCTAATTTCTGACATCAAACAGATGCTTAATTTTGTTTAAACTAGGGCTGTCATGGGATTAAAGAAACTGTAGTTTATTAATCATATGAGTTCTGATACTTTAGATGTCCATACACTTGCACATAAAACAATTGTTTTGAAGAAAAAGTATTCTTCCTCTATTTCTGCACACGCCTGTTGCACCATCTTAGAAAAAGCATTCCTTCTTGCATGCTTGAGGAGGAGGAATGTGCCTGCCTAAGATGGTGTCTGTCACCCAGAGCTTTTGTACAAAAAATAGTCAATTTGCTTTTTAAAGCTGCCTGATGTATTGAGTGTACCATTTATAGTAAAAGTTTTTGTGCTTAATCTTACCCATTTATCAACCAAATGTTGCAGCCCTAGTTTGAACAGACCTTGAATGTCATTCCCATTAATTTCTGTTTATTATGTAGATGCCTAATATAGTATTATTATATCTGTGTTTCCACAATTAGTGTTTTATATCATCTAGAGTTCCATTGAAATACAGCTTATTGATCTAGTTTGTTCCATTGAAGCTTGGAGTGGTTAAATGCATAGCTCTTGTGAAACAAGTTACATCGCAGGGTGATTCTTTTAAAAATGCACCAGAAACAATCTATTTTGCTGAACTATACCCGGCCAGAAGCCAGATATCAAAGGACTATATGCATATTGGATTCAGCTCACTGTTTGAATTGCTTTTGAAGGAAATTTGAAATATTTTAGGGAAATTATTGAAGAAGGATTCCTCCCATAACTCACTGTTTAAGTTTACCAGATAATTTTGCTTACGCTTGGTGCTTTAGGCTTCTCACAACGAGGACTTTGGTTTTTATTGGAATGATTTTCTTTCTCTATGAACAAATAGAGAATGTCCTCATGCCATAATTATTTTCTCTAGGGCAGTGGTGGCGAACCTATGGCACGGGGGCCAGAGGTGGCACTCAGCGCCTTCTCTGTGGGCACGCGTGCCATCGCCCCAGCCAGGCCCAGACCATCATTAAAGTGTCGAATTCTCTGCCAAATAATTTTAAGTAAATGAAAGCATTTGGGATTGCTTTCCTTACTTTGTTTGGATCATCTTAAGTTAATGTATGAGTCGTTTTTTTCTAAAGTAAAACCTCAGTATTCAGGTTAAATTGCCGTGTTGGCAGTTTGCGATAAATAAGTGGGTTTTGGGTCGCAGTTTGGGCACTCGGTCTCTAAAAGGTTCGCCATCACTGCTCTAGGGGGAAGGGAAGCATCTTTGGGTCACTTTCTCTGTATATCTCTGGATGCCCTCTGGGGGCAAGGGAACATCATACCTGGGGTCCACGGAGTCTTGAAAGGTGTGGTTATCTTCAGCCACTTCAAGGTTACAATACATTAGAGAGCAGAAAAGCCACAATATCTAGCGTGCCTCTTTGCCTAGGAACCTCCCTGACACAATTCCTCTCCCTCCCTGGCTTCTTCTTCCACCTTTCCTCCTGACTGGCTTGGCTTTCCTTTTCTGCTCCTGTGCTTTCTCCCTCCAGCCAGCCTCTTCCAATTTCCCATTCCTCACCAGCTTCACAGCTGGCCCTTTAGCTAAGCTCCCTGCTCCCCACAGGCCGCACCCTGCCTTAAAACACACCTGGGCCCACAGAGACATTGTTCCCCCATCCAGGCTTCCTCAGTGCCACCACACCTTTTGAGCATCCCTGGGGCAGACTGACAAAGCTGCCCGATTGCTCAGACTACCATGGCTGTTTCCTCCTGCCCCTGGCCCTGCCCTGGTGAGTCTTGCTGCTAGATCCAGGGATGTATCCCACCCTGTCAAGTGGATTGTTGATAGGCAGCCTACCACAATGTCATAAGCATGTGCTGTTACTTGGGTATGCTCCATTTCATTAAATGGTATAAGCATTCACTTTATTGTCATTTGAGATGGGGGCCAAAGAGCACATTTTCAATCATACCCTTCAGAACCTTTTGAGATCCTGCTCGTTGACTTGACAGTGGTAAGGGACAGAAAGACATCTCAAGTACTTATTAATTCCACTTTTATTTTTTAATCCTGCCATTCCTCCACAAAGCTCAGGGTAAGGTACATGGTTCTCCTTGCCTCTGTTTTCTCTTTTAAAACAACCCAATGAGGTAGGCTTGGCTGAAAGAGAATAATTGCACTCGGTGATATTCATGGCTGAGTGGGGATTTTGAACCTGTATCTCCCCAGCCATAATCAAGACAGCATAAAACACTGCAACACATACAACTCCCTTGTTAGAATTTGTATTTATTTTTAACTGAAGAATGAAGATTCAGCTCGTCACATAATTATTAAGTAACATTGTCTTAAAACAGACCCCTACTGAAATTTGTTAGAATAAAGCATATTATTATGTGATTCAGAACAAACCTGCACAGTTTGTGACACTGTAGTCTGCCATGTGTTGTGGCCTGCCAGATATTTGACAACCTGCCAGTTAGTGGAGACTTTAGCAAGCAGTAGAGCCAGGAGATTTATGGACCCCTGGTGAGCTGTCACAAATGGAAGGTGGGTTGTGTTCAGCTTGGTGAATCTTTGTCATTATATAAAGGTCATTATATAAAGGTCAAAATGCTGAGAATCAACCAGGTCACCATACAGAATATTGTGTGTCAAAACTATGGGCAAGGGAAAACCACCCTTTTTACTAAGAATCACCTTTTTACATTTAAAAATAGCATTTCCAAAGAGTTGCATATGAAATCCAAATATCTGAATGTAGTTTGAGTTCTCAATAAATCTTTGTCTCAGCAAATACAAAGTTAGAATACTAGCCTATCACTATTTTACAGGACTTCACACTACTTCACATTACAGAGAAGATGACCCACCTTTGTTTCTAGGGTTGCCAACAGGCCAGGGAGGATCCTGCCCCTCTAATAGAGGCTCATTATGTGGAAATGGGCAGTGGAAGCTTTTCACGAAATGGAAGTAAGCAACATCACCTGGTCAGCAACATTTCATTAAGCCTCTATTGAAGGGAAGAAACATCTTTTCTCCTGATTCTCCTCACTTGTTTTAGCTGCATGTGCTTTGATTGCATCTTTTCTAGAATGTTAGGACATTTGCACATCTGAAGACATCCAATAAATGTGCTCCCAGCGTAGGATCAGCTGATGTTTCTAAAAGCATGTTTACTGCTAGCTTTCAGAAATATGAATACAGAAAACATGTAGTTGGTCAGTGTGCAGACTTTTCTTTTGTTCTGATTTCTTAATTGGCCCAGGGCAAATGTTGACCATTTCCAAGAGAATATGTAGATCCTTCTGGAAAATCACATACACAGGGGTTTTTTAAAGGCTCTGCATCTTTTGCAACAAAAATGGGTCACCTTACCTTATTTCTTGAAGCAAAATCTAATGTTTCAGATATTACTTCCCCCAGCATAATTCTTCACAAATGTAATTTATACTCATCAACATGTATGTATAGGAGAGGGCAGTCGGAAGTGTATCCAAAATACTATTTATTATTTCTGTGTAAAAAGCTTCCTTATTTATAAAACCATTGCAACACATCTCAACTAAAAATTTTTTTAGAGCTTGTAATATTTTCTTACTTGTCTCAACCCATTACTCATAAGGGGTGTTAATACTGCATGTACTTTATCAAGATAAAGCCAAAGAATTTAAGCATTGCCCCATAAAACTTGACAGATTTTACTACCAGCCTGCACACTAGTATTTATTATCAGGCTGATGATTTTCAGGGTTTTTCTATATTAAATCTATGATTTGTTGATATATTCTTGAACAGGACCAGATGTTACTATTTATTAAGCTCACAAAATTTTGTTTATTGGTTTGTAAACATTTGGAATATGTTAGAATTTAAGTTAATTAGGAAGCACCACAAGTTGCTCTATGTACCTGAAATTTCAAATGGTATGTGTTAAAAAATGGATGGATAATTGTAATAAAGGAAATTTTAATGAACATGGAAGAATGGGCTATTTTTTCCTATCAATGTAAAAATATCTTTCACCTGGTCTTATAGGTCATGTAGACACGAAGTTTAATCATGTTTCAGAGATCAGAAGTGAGCAACAGGATCACATGCTTTCCATCTCTCCCATTCTATGCACGGAGACAGATCCAGGTACCAAAATACTTAAAGCTTCCTTTGTTTAAAGAAATGGCCAGGGATAGCCTTATAAAGCAGGGGTGTCAAACATAAGGCCCAGGGCCGGGTGTGGCCTGTCCACGGCTTTTACTTGGCCTGTGAGCAACTGGTATGAGGGAAGGAAGCAGGAGGCTGTGGGGGGGGGGGCAGGCACACATGGTGAGGTAGGTGTGTGTGGTCGAAAGCTGTCAAGAAATAGAAAGGAAATGGCTAGGGGGTGGGGCTTAGAGGCTAAGTTAAAATAGCGGAGGGGGGAAGGGAAGGGAAGGCAAAGAAAGAGGAGTTGTGTTTTTTTTCCCTCCTGCCTCCTCTGACCACAGCTCAGTGAGGATTGGAGAAGCCACTACAGACCCCTCCTTCCTCCTGAGCCAGGACCCTGTCATCTGGATCACCCGGAGCCAGTTGCTCCACCTGGACTATCTCACAGGGTTGGTGGGGATGGAGTGGTGGAGGGAGGAGTCGGGTGATTCTCAGAGACAGGATGGGGGAAGAGAGGAAACACGAAGACAGAGAGAAGGATCGTAGCTTAGCTCCTGAGGCTGAGTGTATGTGGCTGAGTAGGATTGTGACTGCTCATTTGTGAGAAAAAAGTATCAGAAGTCAAACTGGCTCTATGGCAGTGCTGTATATTAAGGGGGAAAGGTGGGGGCTCGCTGAAATCAGTTAATATATTGATGACAGGAAAAATACTGTAGACTTTACAGTTGTCTCTAGGGATGTAAAGTTCCTGATCTTTTTGCAGGAGCCTCACACAACTTTGCTGTGGAACTTGAAAAGAAATTACCCAGTTATAGTACCCAGATTACTTCTGTTATAGTGTGTTAGGCAAATAATACTATTTCTTAAATCCTGAATTTTAAAATCAAAATTACCAGCTTTCTGTTGTGAATGTTCTTACTCCTTTTGGACAGTTAATTAATGCTTCGGTTGCATAAGTTGATACTGGTAGATATTTCATCTGGCATTTTAGGTTCAAGATACTTCAAAAACACCAGAGGCAAACCTGAAAAGTACAGTCCTGGAAAATAAAAAATATTTATTAGGAACAGGAGATTTGAATTCCACGATTTTACACATCACATGATTGTGAATGTATATTTATTTGTCAACGATCTGAAGAAACCACCACTGTCATGCATTAATGGCCCAGTGTGTGTACTTCTTTCTACAACTCAAAGTCGACAGAAAGAAACATGTTGTGGTATGATCTTTGCTTTATGTGTGTTAAGAAGCGATGAAGACTAACTTTGTAATTCCATCATCTCTATTATCACAGCCAGTGTTCCCTCTAAGCTGAGTTAGTGTGAGCTAGCTCACAGTTTTTTTAGCCTCTGGCTCACACATTTTTGTCTTAGCTCAGGGAGGATGGCTCCAGAGCAAACTAATCTATGCAGTAGCCAAATTGCTTGCTCACAACTTTAATGCCAGTAGCTCACAATGTAGAATTTTTGCTCACAAGACTTCACAGCTTAGAGGGAGCATTGATCACAGCCATACTTCTATAACTTAGTTGGCAAGTAACAAATGTGTCTACCCTAGATGCTGAGGCTTATCTCTCCCTTATTATAAAAGAGTTTTGGGTGCCAGAATTCTAAAATTGGCCCCTTTAGTGTTAGGCCGAAAAAACTGCCACTCGGAAGACACTGGCTGGGTTCATTGGCTGCTTTGTGCAGTCCCGGCCAGCGTTCCAAGGTCATTTACATATGGAAGCTGATTGGACTATACTCCATTCCACACCTCAAACTCACCCCCCCCCCACAAGGCAGTTGGAATTTTCAG